AAACCCAGGAGCCTGCAGCGCTGGCTTTGGGAACCTGTGGCTCCACGTGCACCTGTGGAGCAATGGTGGATGGGCTGATCACCGTGAAGGCGGCGTTGGAAGACAGCATGGCGCCGAAGGCTGGACCGTCTTCACTGCTCCTATCCACCTGTACTATGGAGCCTACAAGGCTGCAGCAGGCCCCATTAAGCCCATGCAGTTCTGAACAAGCTGCCGGAGACGTTAACTCTGGCCTTCACGTGCCATCTGCCAGCAGCCCCCAAATCGAGGCTGATGCCTTGTTTGTCACAAGCATGTGCTTCTGCAAATCGCCCAGGAAGGGCTCCAGTACAGGTTGGGCCTCGCAGCAGCAATTTGGTATGCGCTCCTCAAGTTTTGCCTGAGAACATATGTATAGGGCATTCAACGTCGTGAGCTTGCATTCATTAGATGTCCCATTTGTTCAGCTGCGGTTCTGTGGGGCGGAGAGTTCACGACGTTGTTGCTTCTAGAATCCCGCAGAGGAAGCAGCATGTTCCCTCCGTGGCGCGCAACATCAGAAAAGTCAATAACGGACTTAAGGCGCTGGAGTGAGGCAAGCTCTGGGCAATTTGTGATTTCCACATTCCTGATACCTCAAGTCTCAAGCATATCTTTTTTCGACGGGGTTAAACAGCCTACTACATGGCTTCCTGGGTGGTGCACCACGCCAGGCACCGACCCTTCCGTGAACCTGCACTCGTGAAGAGCCCTGACTGTGCGGCTGGGTGATGCACTTCAAGTCAGCCAGGAAGGTCAAACCAAACCTTCGCATGATAGCTGCCGCGTTTTTCCGCTAGCCATCTTCTGCTAGCAACACTGGACATCCGCCAACATGAGTCCGGGAGGATTGACTGCATGGTATGAGGCTGTTTTTATTACCTTTGCTGACGCCTTCAGCCCATATCTGCATCATCTATTAGTACGTTAGCAAGTAGCATGGTTCGGGCTCCAGGCATTCAAGCTGTGGATGTGCTTTGCGCAGCTCGCCAGCGGTCCAAAATCTCCTGGGAGCAAGTTTAGCTCCTAAACACCTGAGTCTGCTGAGGCTCAGCTGAAGGTTGAGCAGCATCTCTAGCTGAGATACGGACTGATTGAACACCTGAAATGAAACCGGAGCAGCACAGCATATCTGAACCCACAGCTTTGGTCAACGCGGCATTCTTCGCCGACATGAGCCATAGTCCAAACTCCTACTCCCTATATAATCGCCCTTTAAGGAATTTTGACTATGGCTCACATGGTGTCATCAGGCTGCCGCAATTGCGGAAGAAGGCCAGCTGCCTTCCTTGAGCTTGCTCTCAATGGTGTCAACCTGCTTCCGCGTCCTGGCAGTCTTCTCAAGAACTCGACGGATAATGATGGACGGCCTGTCATGAGAATAGCAGTAGACATGGCTGTTGTGAAGCCGTCTTGGCTAAGATCTGTGCTCTGATGGGACCACTGCATGGTGTGCAGTGTAGAACCTGGCAATTCGGAACCACTGACACCTTTGGTTTATGGAATAATGCCCCAGCTTTTTTTTCTTAGGTTGCGGCAATTTGGCGGCGCCGCCATGCTTGTAGAACCGCTTGTCTGGCATTATGTTCCCACAACCTGAGATGTCTGCACAAATGCCTGCCAGAATAGCGCACCACTGATGAGCTATAGTCTAAACTCTTAGTATCACCCTTCATAACCCCTATACTGCTCCCCCATAGAATCCCCTATATAACCCTCCTTCACGGAGTTTAGATTGTAGCTCATATAGTGCACAAGACTAACAGAGGCAGAGGCAGTTTAAATCTGTTGGATCATTAGCAGCTCTGCTTTGTTTGTCCACATGTTGTGCCATGTGCGATCGCAAACATATAGGCATACACTATATAATCCCTATGTAGGTAATCCCTACATATGTGAACATATATACAAATATACACATATATCACTTTCTTTCTCTCTCTCTCTCTCTCACACAAAATCTTGGGATCCAGCCTGAGCACCTCAGATACTTGCAGTCTGCTGAAACATGTGCAGCTCTCATTTGGGACTTTCCTAAAATTAGGGGTAGCCTTTTGGTGATCCCCATATTAAGGATTATACTATCTTTGGGCCTATATTGGGGTTCCCCTATCTATGGAAACTCTCATTTCTCAAGCAGGAATTGCAAAGCATGTCACACCACCCCCTACCAAACCTTACAGTACATAGTAGTTTCCATGTTCTCTTCCACCATCCCCTTCATCTCTCCCTCTATATATATATATAACCCTTATATAATTATCCCTATATACACTATATATATATATCTACATTGTCACATTGTCTATATCTCTATATATAGATATGTGCATCAATATCCCTCCCCCTCTCTCTATTTATATCATCCCTTTAACTTCCTCTTCTGAGGCCTTGACCTGTCGCCATTCTTGGGCTTCCAATCGAAGAGGGAATGGAACTCAGTTGGATCCTTGCAGCCAGGCTTCGCAGTGGGGGTTAAGAGGGAGTAAGGGAATATACTATAGGGTTTAGTTTAGGGTTAGTAGCCAATGAGGGAAGATATTGTATGAGTGTTATATGGGAAGTATATTCCCTTATTCCCTACGAATTATCCCCCAGCAAGGCTTTGCAAAGCAGAGGCAGGGACCAAACAAAGTCTTCAACAAATGTGGTGCTTGTCAATAATATGTGTATAATGTAGGTATATGTGTACATAAACATACATATTTACGTGTGTATATAGATATATATATATATCTCAGCATGTGCCGTCTGGGCAGCGGGCTGTAATGTCAAACTTGCACCACTGCTTTGTAGCTTTCTCTTCCCACAGGGCCACCTTAGAAGATGCTGGAGAGCAGTGCAGCGCGCGGGTGACGTGCGAACTACCGGGCAACGAACCACATCTTTGTGCTGTCGCTTCAAGGATGTGGGAGAAGGATTTTGTAAAGCTTGGTTAAGCTTGAGGGGACGCTCCATTGTCCCCCGTAGCATCCGCTTCTATCGGAAAAAACATGACTTGAAGCTCGCCTCTTCGAGTCAATGGCAGGCTGCCTGTTGAACGGCTGTTTCCAGGTTTTGGCGTTCTGTTCCCAGTCAAGGTCCCGGCGTTCAGTAGATCTTCATCTTCTGGAATCTCGGTGACCTTGCTTCGCAATCCGACAAACAAGGCCTAAATTACTGAAATAGTCCGCCATCATGATGAAGGAAGCTCCAAACCCCGCTTGTTCATTTCGTGCTACACAGCTTTTCTGATTCAGAAAGCAGCCAGGATTCAGTCAGCTATTCCGCAAAATCCTAAAGTGCCTTCGCAAGCACTAGATCGTTGAACGAGGGCAATGCCCATGCACAACCCCGGTAACGCTGTGGATAAGCGGCAAGATGCAGGCAACCCCTGTAAAGCAGCCCAGACTTCTTGAAGGGCTGCCGACAAAGGTCGTGGCTCGAAGGGAGGGAGCTTGTATCTTCCCCGTCTGCAGCGGCGGATGGCGTGCGTCCAACAAGTTACTTGTCATCCACCCAAAGGTCCATGTACAAGGCGTGCATGTGACGCACTCCAAGCATGCCACATGGTACGCACTGAGCAGAAATCACAAGCAGGCCAAGATGAGGCCCAGACTATCGCTGGCAATGTCTCGTCACGGAAGTTCTTCCCTGACAGTTATCTTTTCTCATTGGAGGGGATACATGCATGAACATATGTCGATAAAACTGCCCATGCATGCAAATGAACACATGGAAACTATGCCTGTGGCTTCAGCTTAAGGGCATCTAAGAGTTTCACGTCACGAGCATCTAAGAGACCGTATGTGAGAAGTGGCGTTTCTAGCTGACATCTGCGATTTCCGCATCCAAGGGCGAGGCGGAGCCACTTTCCAATGAAAGGCAAGGCCTGAGGCAAAGGATTTGAGAGTTTATGAAAGTCATGGATCTTCTTTTTCCGGCCCCCTCCATATGAGCTATATAGTCTAAACTCCTAGTATCCCCCCTAATAACCCCCTATAGTAGTCCCCTATATAATCCCCTATATACCCCCTTTGAGGAGTTTAGACTATAGCTCATATTGCCCCAGTATTTTGGCCAACCTGATGCTGAAAGTATCATGCCAAGGCTACGCGCCATCAGGGTGGGAAGTCTTCATATCTCTGGGTACCGCGCCCAGTAGGTCCATGAAGGATGGGCATGGCCCCATCCTCGGTAACAATCAACGCTACATCTGGAGGGGAGATAGCAGCTCTGCTCATTAAACAAGAAGTTCTGCTGTACCCTTCCAACCCTCTGCCATAAGGACCCTACTGCTGGTGCGGGTACATTTTTGCTGCCCTACTGCGGACATTGCGTTCGAGAAATGAAAAAGTGCCTAAGGCCTCAGCTCTGCAGAAGCTGGGGTTAACAATTGGGATTTTCAATGATTTTTCATGGCCAATCATCTCAGAAGCCCTCCGCCAGCTGCACCTTCTCGAACTGCTTCTTCTTGAGGACGAAGGACAGCTGGGCAATGAAGCAGGAGAAGGCAAAGGCGCAGTAGGCGTAGACTCGATTCATGTCCTGGGGCAACCACATCATCATGCATGATCATGCTTCAAACAAAGATCTGAAGACATGAACGTTCTGGCGCGGCAAAGTCTACAGTGATCCACGGTGTGCAGCAGCACAGGCAATGATATCTGAAGTCTTTGCCGAGTATCCTGAAGGATGCACTCCTTCTCCTCCTGCCCAAATCCGCCGACGTTGGGGTTGGTGGTGATCGGCTCATCCTTCTCCACCTGGAACTGTATGATACCATGCT